AATAAAGGACTTAAAACACCTGTTTTTCTCCCCCCACTCCGTGTGCAGGGGGTGCAGGGGGTGGGAGTTTTTCTGCTCAGTTCATCAGCCTGGTTTTATTCCACCACTTAAAAAGAAAAATTTCCATATCTTGCTGCACGGGCTGTGGGGGTCTTTCCCAGGAACAGGCAGTGTATTAAACTGCTGATGGTGTGGTTTTCCTCCACCAGGTCCTCCAAGGCCAGGCTGTCTCCATAATTGGGAGCAAAACTTTACTTTTAAGTCTCACACAGCTCCCTCCAGGAATTCACTCACTCCAGGCATGGGCCACCACCCCTATGGCTACAATCAGCCCTCCAAGGCCARGCCACTGATATTTTGGGTCCCCAACTGGACATGATCACCTCAGGAACAGCTTCTTCTCCTCCATGGTCAGCACCACATCTTGCAAAGCATTTTCCTCTCCCCCTCCTTTTTCACTGACCGTGGTGTCTCCATTTTTTTTTCACATTTCCTCACCCTCCCCCTCCATCCTCCCAAGTGCAGTGGGATCTAAGGCAGCTCTTTATTTCGAATTTCTTCTTAAATAAATCATCGCAGAGGTGTAATCAGCATCTCCAATTAGCCCAGGCTTGGCCAGCAGCCTGTCCATCACCTTAGAGCCATCAGAGATTGATTCTACACCACAAGATGGGGGGACAGGGCTCTGCTGGACATGGCGAAGACTTCCAGAAGCTTCTCACAGGAGCCATTTTTGTGGCCCCTCTCCACCACTAAAAAACTGGGTCAAGCAAAACCACCACAAATATGTAATCAGTGCAAGTGATAAAATCTCAGTTTATCCAGCACTCACCATGCTCGGTCAGAGGAAGGATCCCCGAGTGACCAGCGCTGCTTTGTGGAACTCAAAGCTCTGTCAGAAGGTTTCTCTCTGGTCGATTTTGGCATCAGCCTGGTGTGTTCTATAGTGCAAAACTGCAGCTTCAGCTGCTTTCAACAAGTGTGATATTTGTGTCCAATGTTTATCGATGCGTCTTGTGCTGATGACAAACCACTCTCACCAGAAGAATCCCAGATGTTCACATTCTTTTTGCTCAGTCCCAACGTCCATGTTAGAGCAACCAGTTCAATCTTCTGAGCTGAAACATCTGCGCCTCATTTTGTCCCCTTCCATTTCGTCGCAATCACTCCATTTCCAAATTATCTATTCTTTGTTTTCAGTCGTGATATTTTATCATATCTCCTTNATTGTCATCTGATTTCAAGATTTCATTTCCTTTCAGAAAGGAAATGAAATCCTGCGATTTCAATCAATTCAGCAAGGTTTGGTCCATTACTTCAGAACTTTGGATTCAATCACTTTGCTCATCCCAGGCCCTCCCCACCCTCACATGGAGCAATTCCTGCCCAATATCCCATCCATCCCTGCCCTCTGGCAGTGTGACCCCATTCCCTGTGTCCTGTCCCTCCATCCCTTGTCCCCAGTCCCTTTCCATGTTTTTTTTACCTGTATMTGCATCCAGCTATCACAGATTATAAAATTATTATCAGCAATCACTTGTATCCCAATACTCTTGCGACACTAATTAATTACAGCAGTAGTCAAGTTATTATAATAACAATTATAAGTAATTATATTCACAGCAGCAGTGAATAGCAATAGTAATTACATCATTATTTTATTAATCATTGCAGCAATCAGAATTAATTCCAGTAGTGATCAATAGCAGCCATCATTATATTATGGATCACTGCAATTCTATCACTACTGAAGCAAATTTATAAAAGATGTAACACTAAAGAAACTTATGCAAGGTGACTTTGTGCACAAATAAATCTGTGACAGTGATGCTGTGATGTCTCTGCTCCTTCTCCTGATGGAACAGCAGCCCCAGGAAGGGCTGAGGGCCTGGCCTGCCCTCCAGGTACTGCACAGCAGTTCAGAGTCAGAGGTTTTCAGCTTTGGGTTGAGTGTGAGACAACTGAAACCGCATCTGGTGCGGAAATTGGGCTCAAACTCGAATCATCTGACTGCATATTTGTGGTTCAGCTTTCACATCCTGCTGCAATAAAATGCCTGATCTCGTGTAATTGCTCCACTGTCTCTGTGATAGGTGGAGCTGCTCGCAGATCAGGGTCAGGGCTGGGTAAAGAGGGGCTGAGCTGGGTTCTGCCAGCCCAGAATGGACAGGGATGGATGGATGGATGGATGGATGGATGGATGGATGGATGGATGGATGGATGGATGGA